CCATTTTTAGGTTGCTTTTTCACTGTCAATTTTTTTTATCTAAGATTTTTAGATTGATGTAATCCTACTTGCTTGTTTTTCTTTTTCTCTTTTTTTTTGGTGTCATATTCAGAAATCATTGCCAAGATTAATGTCATGAAGCTTTTCTTATTTTATTCTAGAAGTTTCATAGTTTCAGGTCTTCCAATTAAATATTCAATCCATTCTGAGTTGTATTTTGTGTGTGTTGTAAGACAGGGGTCTATTTTCATCCTTTTACATGGAGATACCCAGTTTTCTCAGCACCATTTGTTGAAGAGGCTATCCTTCCTCATTATGTATTTTTGGCACTGTTGTTGAAGACCAGTTGCCTTTGTATGTGTGGGTTTATTTCTGAGATCTCTATTCTGTTTTACTAGCCTGCCTTTCTGTCTTGGTGCCAGAATCATACTGCTCTTACAATGGTAGATTTATATTATATGTTGAAATAAGGAGGTGTGGTGCTTCTATTTATGTCTTATTTCTCAAGGTTACTTGGGCTATTCTGTATCGTTTGCTAATCTATCTGAATTTTAGGATTGTTTTGCTATTTCTGTAAAAAAATGCCGTTGGAATTTTGATGGGGATAGCAGTAAACATGTAGATTGCTTTGGATAGTATGGATAGTTTAATAATATTAAGTCTCCCAATAAATGACAGAGTTCTAATTTATTTGTCTTTTCTTTAATGTTTTTCATCAGTGTAGTCTAGTTTTCAGTGTACAAATTTTTCACTTCCTTGGTTAAATTTATTCCTAAATGTTTTATTGTTTTTGGTGCCATTGTAAATGGGACTGTTTTTAAAATTTTTTAGAAGTAGCTCATTTTTAGTGATGGAAATAGATGGAAATACAACAATTTTTTTGTATGTTGACTTTGTATTCTGTAACTTTTCTGAATTTGTTTATGCTAAGAGGTATGTGTGTATATATGTGATTTTTAGGATTTTTCTATATGGAAGACCATGTCATCTGCAAATAGAGACAATTTTACTTCTTCCTTTCCTATTTGGATGCCTTTTTTTCTTGCCTAATTGCTCAGGCTAGGACTTCCAATACTATGGTGAATAGAAGTGGTGAGAGTTGGCACCCTTGCTTTGTTACAGACCTTAGAGGAAAACTGCATTTTTCACAATTGAGTATGATGGTAACAGTCAGCTTGTCATATATAGTCTTTGTTACATTCAGATGCATTCTCTCTATTTTGCATTTGTCCAGAACTTTTGTCATGAGGGAAAATTAAATATTTACAAGGGCTTTTTCTGCATCTATCAAAATGATGATATAATTTTTATCCTTCATTCTGTTAATGTGGTGTATTACATATATTGATTTGCATATGTTGAACCATCCTGGCATCCCAGGGATAAATTCCATTTGATCATGGTTTATGATCCCTTTAATGTGATGTTGAATTCTGCTTGCTATGATTTTTGTCACAGAGTTTTGCATCTACATTCATCAAAGATATAGACCTGCAGTTTCCTTTTCTTGTAGAACCTTTTTCTGGTTCTGGTATCAAGGTAATACAGACCTTTAAAATGAGTTTGGAAATGTTGCTTTTTCTTCAATTTTTTTGAAGTTTGAGATGTACTGGTGTTACATCTTCTTTAGATGAGATTGGGAGCTTTCAGGGTGGTATGGCCATAGACTAATTCTTCTTTAAATGTTTGGTGGAATTCACTAGAAAAACCACTGGGCCCTGGGCTTTTGTTTGCTGGGGGCGGGTTTTCATGACTGACTCATTTTCTTATGTGTTATTATTTTTAAAAAACATTTTATTAATTTATTTCTAGAGAAAGGGAGGGAGAAAGAGATGGAGAGAAACATTAATATGTGGTTGCCTCTCATGCGCCCCCTATTGGGGTGTGCATGACCCAGGCATGTGCCCTAAATGGGAATCGAACCAGCAACCCTTTGCTTTGCAGGCTGACGCTCAATCTACTGAGCCACACTAGCCAGGGCATCCTTATGTGTCATTGATAATTCCACTCATCAGTATATTAAAAATAATTGAAATCAATATCTCAGAGATATGTATATTGCCATGTTTATTGAATGATTCATAATTGTCAAAATTTGGAACCAATCCAAGCTTTTGTTAACAAATGGATAAAAATAATATGCATTTATACAATAGAATGCAATTCAGCCTTAAAGAAGAAAGAAGCCTTTCTATTTGTGACATCTTGGACCAGGAAAACATTGTGCATTTTTCAAGCATTTAAACAGTACAAGTGAATATTATCAATACCTGCACATTTTAATCAAAATTTATTTCTTATTTTAAATGTCTTTTTATCTAAATAACAATTGCTTTCACTAAAGCAAATGCTAAACCATGCATTTCTGGCCTTTCAAAATTAGTTGGGTGACAAGTGACTGCATTATCTAGTTCTAATTGCTTAAAAGGCACATGAGAGATCAGTTGCACAACCAGAGACATTTTCTTACTTTAACATTGCCTCACTTGTTTCAATCATTACTTTTTCTTTACAGCATCTGTCTTGTCTGGATAATTCCTAGAGATTTGTGAATACAAAATTCAGGGTTAAAACTTCTCCATGACCACCTGGGTATCAGTGGAGACCCAGAGCCTGAACCTGGAAGGGCCAGAGAAGTTCACAGGTTCAGGTGCTGGACCTGGGGGAATTCATGTGAAGGCTGGATGAGGCTGCACCACAGGGTGGGGAGAGGATAACTAGCAGTCCCAGTGGTGCCTCTTACCTACTTGAGGCCCATTCATGGCACCAATCATATGAAAGGCAGACATGGGAAGCCAACCTAGCTTTAGGCTTCCGAGGGATTTGGAGGAAGGAGCCAGAGTCTCTGTTTTGCCACGGAAAACATTATGCTCAGAAATAAGTCAGTATAGAACAAATACTGCATGATTCCACTTATACAAAGTATTTAAAATAATCAAACTCGTGTATACAAAGAATACAGTGGTAATTGCCAGAGGATGGGGGAGGGGAAATGAAGAGTTTTTCAATGGTGATAAAGTTATAGTTATATACAAGGTGATTCTAGAGATCTGCTGTGCATTATGTAGCCCATAGTTAATAGGGTGTTGTGCACTTAAAAGCTTGTTAAGAAGGTAGATCTCATGGTATGTGCTCTTACCACCATTTTTTTTAAATGAAAAAGCAAGGTAACACAAGAGATCTTTGGTCATGATGGATATGTTCATTACCTTATTTGTGGTAATAGTATCACAGGTGTATGCATCTGTACAAACTCATTAAAATGTATACATGAAATATAAGCAGTGTTTTGTATATTCAGTTTGATAAATAAAGTTGAAAACAAAAAAGAAGACAAACACAAATAACAGAATATCAGTATTGGCAAAGATGTGGAAAACTGGAATTTTCATTCACTGCTAGTGATTTATAAATTGGTAAACTAAAAAACAATGTGGCACTATTTTCTAATACTGAATATATGCATATCTTGTGGCACAGTAATACTAATACTACAAATACTACACAGTAATTGTTACCTCCTAGGTAACAACGTGCATCAACAGACTGGTACAAAAATATTCATAGCAGCATCATTTATAGCTATTCAAAAGTTTAAACAACCTAATGTTAAGCAATATTAGAACAGATAAAGAAATTTTGAGATTATACACAAACATGAAAGTGAATAAACTACTACTACATTCTTTAATATGGCTCAATCTCACAAATATATTATTGAGTGAAAAGGCCACACTGGAGTACACACTAAGTGTGGCCATTTATAAGTTTTTTAAAGCTGGCAAAAGTAATTTTGGTAAAATTCAGAACAGTGGCTATTTCTGTGTAGGCACACAATAACTAAGGAGCATATTTTCTGAATAGTTGGAAAACATTTCAAATCTTGATCTAGGAGGTGGTTACACAAGTTCATTCACTTTGCTACTAAGATATACAATTATGATTGTTGCAGTTCTTTCGTACATGTTATCCCTTAAAATTTTTTTCACACCCATTAATTCAGAAAATTTTAAATATTGTGTTTTATCAGTTTTTGCGAGGTGCGAGAGAAAGGTCTTCCCATATATTAGTGGTAGGAATGTAAATTGTAATAACTACTTAAAGGAGCAAGTGGAGGAAATCTACTAAGATTTAAAATGTCCACACTGAGCAGGCTAATAGCCTAATTTGTGATGGTTATGTGTAATTTAAAATTAATAACAAACCTTAGAATGTCTTTGGAAGAATATCCAAGATGTCAACAACGCTAGTTCACTCCAGTAGGTGAATTTAGTGCCTCGGAAACTAAAAATAGAAGATGAATTTTCACTGTATAAACCCTCGATTTCCCTAAATATTTGAAAAATATTTGTAGCATCTATTGGGGGAAAAGTTTGATTAAAATGTATAGATAAATTGAATTAAGACAATAATGAAAAGACACTATCTTAGGGGAAATATACACAAATATAATTAAATGTTACTACTATGAAGATCGCAGTGTCAGTTATGTGATAGGAGCTTAGCAAAAAAAGGTCTCCTAAGGAGATCTGGAGGACTTGAATAGAATTTAAAGTGGAGGTGAACCTTGAGCAGAGAAAGAAAATGCCCCACTTTCTCATTGCTGAATTGCTTAGTGCGAGATGCCCAGGGACCCTGAAATCCAGTCCCGCGGTTATTTTCCGAGAGCTGGAGACTAAATCCCCACTAACAGACTGGAGAAAGGTAGAAGCAAAAGTGTCGACGAGGGGAAAGCAGCCGCTTCATAAACTTCAGCAGTATCGGATTTAGATTAGCTAAACTAGCTCTGCAGTATCAAAGCTCAAATTCCAAATTCCCACCCTCTCCAAAGGGCAGGTCAGCCCGCCCTCTCTTGCCTTTCTACTTTGCTTACTGGGCAGTGGATGATTGACACATAGGTTCACCAATCAGTGACTCTTCTAGGTAGGCCCAAACCGGGTCTTCGGTGGCCTAGAGCAAGATGCGGCCTCCATGCGTCTACGTCAGCGTGATGACGTCAAGGGCCAGGCAGTGGGGGAGGTCTAGGGTGGCTGGCTTCTGGCTGCGGGCAACGGGCTAAGCGTCACCTGCCGGGCTGGATCTCAGGTCCCGCCCCATCGAGCCCGCCCCTGCCCCCTGGCTCCCAAGGCCCCTCCTGCGCGCGACCGCGGAGTTTCTGCTCGCCGGCCAGCCTGGGGCGGCCGGCCCATATCCACCCTATGAGGTAGGCTGGGTTTCTCCTCAACCTATTTGACAGATTGGAAAACTGAGTCAGTCACCCGGAGTCAGATGACTTACTTCCCGGGCCTCACTGGAGATCGGTCAACTGAGGCCAGAGCCCCAGCATCCGGTTCTGTTTTCTGTGTCCTGCGGCGTCCTCCGTAGAGGAGGAGGATGGGCTAGGCAAGGCTTTGTTTATAAAAGATACACAACAATGAAGTTGCAAATGCTTACTTAGCCCGTTTTCACTCGGATCTTGGGCTGGGATTCAGGGGATGTTTGCAGGAGCAAAGTCTCTGTTCTAGCACCCTGCAGACCCCGAGGAGTGCTGAGTGGGGTCCAGCCTCATGCTGGCACCCAGGGCCTTCCAGAGCGACCAAGAATGGTGACTCAGATGATGCCTGGGTAATACAGACAATTGTAACTAGCATCTTTTATTCATCAATAAAGCTGTGTTCAAAACAAAACGAAATTTATAAATTAAAGTACAAGTCATGAATGTGCTGGCTATGGTTTTAGTTAACTGCTTTGGCCACTCAGGGGCCACCTGGCCATATTTTGAAATCTCAGTAGCATGCTTACTTTGGTTTAGAATTAGAAAGGGATTTTTTTTCTCTTTCGTTAATACCTGGGTTAACATTGAGAACTTTACTTACCATTCCTTTACTGTGCCAATTGTTTACCATGTCATTTGTCTTTATTTCACAGATGGAATCACTGAATTTATCACTCAGTAATAGTTTGGATAAAATTCCAAATAGTTTGGATAAAAATAGTTTGGATGTTGTTACTTTGAAAGGTTTAACCTCTCAAATGTACAGGGATTAGTTCAGTTTGTTTATCTCAGAACTCTTTGTTCAGAAGCTTCTGAAAGATAAAGTGCCATCCTCATAACATCTACTAATACACTCTTTTTCTAGAAACAACATCTCACAAAACAACTTATGGTACTGTTGCTTTTTCCATAAAGTAAAAATGTGTTGTATAATTTATACATACCTATATATTTTCTATTATTTTGAAGAATTCATTCTCTCTAAATCTTGCTTTCTCAAACTTTGACCTTTAAAAATGGTTATTGAATAAAACTGCATTAAAGAAATGAAACTAAGGCCACTGCTGGGGACTTTTTCTAGCTTAGGTTTGCACAAGTATGGTAATTATTATCATTTGAATTCATCCTTTGGAAAATTTATCTGATGAGTGCATCATCTATGCCACGCTTTGTTATAGCTATTGGGCACTGAGTGCTGAAAAATTCAGATAAGGTTTCTGCCTTCTTGACAACTTTAGATAATGATCAATGCTAGAAAAAATATTACAGGTAAGAGACTAGAGAGTGACTGGGAGGTAGGAAGAAATTTAGGAACGGTGGTCAGTGAAGACTGCTTTGAAGATGTGACAGTTTGAGTGAGACCTGAATGTTTAGAATGAGTTGGCTGTGGGAAGATCCATTGGAAGTTTTTGGGCAGATGTACAAAAAAGCTCAAGGAAAAATGTTTGGCACGTTCCAGGGATAGGAGAAAAGCCATGTGACTGGAGTGGAGTAAACCTAGGGGAGAGTGGAGTTAAGGAACAGTGGTAGGAGATGACACTCGAGGTTGGCTGGAGTGGGATCATTTGAACCCCATATAAGAATTGTGAACAGGCAAAGGAAATTGGATTTGGGTACTGCCAAAGCCCTTTTGTTCTTTAGTGACACTCATGGACTCTAACCAGCTCCCTGCTTTATTTTGGTTATGAAATTATTGCAATAATTTGTTACAGTTTTTTTCATCAAAGGTCTTCTTTCTTAATGAAAAAATGTCTTCTTCCTTCAAGTACAGTATCCCATGTTTCTTCCTTGTTCATTGTTATTATGTGCAGGACTCTAAGCCTCTGTTTATCTTCAACTTCCTGGTTTTACCCTTCGTACTTCCAACCATGCGTCCTCTCCAGTATCGTTTTTATGTGCTTGCCTTTTGTAAAGGACTGGAAGTCAATTCCTGCTCTTCTCCAGGCTGAATTCTAGGAAACTGCATTGTGAAGTAGATAACCATTTTCTATTTTATTACCAACCAAGGACTTAATGTCTGCCTTTATTTAGTGCCTGCGGTGTGCCAGGTGCATTATGTACATTTTAATCCTTCCAACATATTGCAGGGGTAAGTATTAGCCCTTCCTTATGGAAAAGGAAACCTACACTTAAAGCCGCCAGCTAGTACTGAGGGAGCCTAGAGCTGAACACTCTAATTAGCCCGCCCCCAAAGCTAAATCAGTGCTACTCCATTGCTTCCCTGAGTGTATGACAGCCGTTAAAAATCTCTATTATTTCAAATCATATTCTATCACATGGCATTTGAAGATGATGATTCAGTACTCTTAGCTGAAACCTGGGGCTGTGGAGACTCATAGATGTTCACTGATTTTCAAAATGTAACTGACATCAAATTCTCTCCCTGCTGATTCTCAGCCTAACGTTTTTTGAAGGTTTCATCTCAGAGGATTTCTATAAATATAAAACTGTAGCATTCAACTATGAAAACTTAAACAAGGTAATTTTTAAAAGATTAAACAGTGCTGCTTTGGGGGCTAAAAATCCTTTGTTTTATTTCTCTTCCCTTTTCTAAGCACTAAACAAGTATACACTTTCTAGATGCAGCTTTGGTTTCTGTTAGGAGAAGGTGGATTTTAAAATAACTTTAAAATTTAAGTTTTATTGCTCATATCTTTGAAAGGTAATTTAAAGCTGTTACTGTTTTCTCAGCTTCAGCCTTATGCTTACAGCCTTATGCTAGTGGAATTAGCACCTTCTTTCTTAAATGTTGGAAGATACTTAAATTTAGACAGAAGAGAGCCTTTGATCATTAGCCTCTGCTATACGTTTTGACCTAGTGTCTCTGACCTTTCAGATCAGTCATGCAGCTAAATCCACATTCTGATGATCCAGGCTGTTGCGATTTGGCCTCAAATCATAGTGCCCCCCTTCCACCATGAACCCAGTGCTCCGAACTGGACTCATGGCCTTTCCAGCTTCAGTGCCATTGCTTGTACTCTGCTTGAAGCCTGGAATGATTTCTAGATGCACATATCCAGCCAATCAAAGCTTTACCTCTCCCTCTGAATCCATCTGTGCTACATTCTTGATGAGATATTTCCTGTGACTCTCTAATGGAAGTCTTCCCTTCCATAGCGCTTTTGGGAGTCTTTCTCTGTAATGCATGTTACCAATCTTGACATCTTTGGTAATGTACTATTTTATTCATGGGTGTTTAAATAAGTTTTGGCTTGAGCTTAAAAGAGATGTAACAATTTGTGTTATACACATGGCTGTTCAAAAAATGTTAGCTTGAACATCTATTTGATGAGACTTAATTCTAATTGAAAGAGACTTAATTCGTGTTATACATGCATAGTTTTTTGTGGATTGTAAATTTTTGTAGAGCTCTTTACCTTTAGTTTTATTTGTGTTTTTATTATCTCACATTTGAGAGAATCAGTGGTATGCTTTTCATGGCTTTGATTCAACAGAACTTTTTTCCTGTTTCAGTTAAGTGTCTAACCTTTATAGTTCCCAAGGTGTCCCTTGAGAGGAACTCAAATCTTAGGGTTGTAAATGCTGAAGAGAAACGATCGCAAATAAAAATCAGTGTTCTATGTGTTTATGGATAACAGCTGTTCCACATTTTAATATTAAAAATATGAAAACTGAGGCCCCAAGAGACTAGCCAGAGGCCCCTGCAATGTTGGGCTAAGAACCTTGGGCAGTACCCCAGGTTCACAGCGGCTGGAGTGTGTGCAGGCCATTGTTGGTTCCGACTCCTGAAAGCCTCTCCCAAGTATATAAGCACAACTCAGTCATTTCTGGACTGTTTTGCTTGCTTTTCTCGTGAGTTGACCTGGGTCTGGCAGATACCTCTTGTGCTGACTCAAGAGCAAAACAGGACCTCTAACCTTGGACCCCCAACTGAGCTGTTCAGTGGGGCAGGCGTTGGTGTAGTATCAGGTTTGGTGGGCTCTTTAATATACACTTGCTTCTCCTTCCCATTTTGTTAAAGTTTTCCAGAAAACCGTCTTGGGACTGGTGGGTATCTTCAGTGTATTAAACTTGGAGTTTGGACGGATTTGGCCTAGTGTCTTATAAGTTGTGGTAATCCAGGTTTTTGTGTCCTGTATTTTCCAGAACATTATACTTTTCACATATTGTGCATTGTTGCTTGCCAAAGTATATTCTTGTCTGCTTTTTGTTTCAGGAAAATATATTCTCATACTTCTATAATTAATCACTTGCTTTTTGAATTAATGATGTGGAACCATAGAATTTTAAGTATATTTTCTAATTTGTATGGTAGTTAAATTCATCAAAGGTAACACAAAGAGCTCTTGAGCTATTAAATGTTTCTTCAGCTGAGGTAGAAACACCAGCCAGGACTTGTCATTATTGATAGTAACTAACACAGAGAGCTTCCTCTGTGCTAGGCGCTGTTCTAAACGCTTTCATGTCCAGATTTCTCATCGTCTATTGATGTTTTGAGCTGGATGCTTGTTTGTTGGGGGGGCTGTCCTGTGCAGTATAGGATGTTTGACAGCATCTTTGGCTTCTACCCACTAGGTGTCAGTGACACTTCCCCGAATTGTGACAACCAAAAATGTCTCCCCATCCCCCGATGCCTTGAGAACCCCTGTTTTATCTAAACTAATTTTATTCTTCCCAACAACCCTCTGAGGTTAGTTGTATTATTATTGTCTTCATTTTATAAAAGGAGAAGCTGAGGCATAGAGAAGTTAAGTGACTTGTCTAAGGTTACACAACTAGTAAGCAGTAGTACGGATTGTGAAACTAGGCAGTGTCTTTGTGAATCCTATTCTAAGCGCAACTAGCTCAGACTGGACACCAACTGTTAGGGATCCAAAGACCCATGTATGTAAACAGGGAACAAGACACATGTCAGCAGGTACCACACAGGACTGTAAGTGAGGTGACTGGGTGGCAAATGGGGGAATATTGCCAGAATTACGTATTTC